TCAGGAAGTTCATAAACTTCCTGCTGGGAAGTGATAACATTCTGTAGTTTTTCAGCAGCACGGAAAGGTCACTCGAGGGTGATGGTTTTACTCTTCTGCGTAATGCATGAGGTGAAGCTCTGTGTGCAATTCCTGGAAACCTAACAGCCCATGCCCTTTGTTCGGGAAGGTGCAAACCGAGCTGCTAACGACTGGAAATCAAATTGCATTTTTCAATGCCTTTTAACTACTCTTTCAAAAATACTGCAATTGTCTTGAAATCCATAGGGGCAAACAGTTAACAGTCCTTACTCCGTCCATGGTGTCTGTGGAAACCAAGGGGCCTGTCGTGAACTGCTGTGCGCTGCTAGTACGTAATGACTGTTTCTGCTGTGTGCCTCTACTGGACTTCTGCATCTCTAGACTCAGACAGAAATCAATGTGTTGCTCTTCAGCTCCTGATTGCACATGAGGGTTCCCTTGCGCTCTCCCAGCATTTACTAGTTTAGCAGCAGGAATTGGGTAACTTTGTCTGCTTTTACATTTTGGAAACTGCCTCCTGGCAAACACATAGCATCAGAAATGCCACAAGTCAATCCTGCAGGAAATACTAGGAGACAGAAAGGCTTGTGATAAGCTTACAGGGTCACTGGAGAGAAAATTTAGAGTAACAGAAGAGGCAGGTGGCCAGAATGTGAAGAGAACCAACCTGTAAGCTTGAGTGACCGAACCCCTGCTCTCTGCAATCCCATCCCATGAGATAACCCAGCTGGAGGCGCTCACCTCTGAGGTCGCTGTGTCCGGTTTACCCAGCGGGGCTGTATCCACTCACTCGCTTGCAGAGAGGAGTCCCTGGAGGAGTAGGAGCCGACGCGCTCAGGTTCCTGCCACCAGTGAAAGGCCATTCTTCTTTCTGCCTGCCAGCAGCCAAAGGCAGGCACCATTCGTTTAGGGCACATGCAAGGAAAGTCACATAGTCCAGGAAGGTGTTAGCATGTCCTGGCATTACGAAGACAAACTGAATGTCATGCCCCAAAATAGTCAGTACTTAAGGCAGGCAAGGGCCTGGGGACAGAGTCCTCAAATGCAAAGTAGCAAGAGGTAATTTCAGGTGTGTAGGAGCCGAGGGAAGAGCATATGAGCTGAGCAGCATGGGACAAGGAAATAAAGGGTCATTACTGCAGCAAGAAGATGTGATTGAAATGGGTTTGTGGCGTGGAAAGATCTGGATCTGTGAAGCAGTAATGGAGAAGGAGGAAGTAGAAGACAGGCTGGAACATGGCAAATTGATAATGTTGATTGTAGTGCTGCTGATAAAAGTGAGTGGTAGAAATAGCAAAGTGAAGATGTAAAGACATCTGAAGAAAGAGCCTGCAGTATTCTGAGATCCCAGCTCTAGATTATGCTGCCACTATCAACGAGCAGCTCAGAGTAAAAAGGGTGATGCTAGAAGAGGACTGAAAAAAAAAGCTTGTTTCTTAAATTGCTGCAGCTTACTGACATGTTTTGTTTCTTTCCCAGGTCTGCTGGCTATATAATGTCTGTGTTGTTCTACCCAATCGTCACCTTCGTACTCATTGCCGTTTGTATTTCCTACGAGGCTGTGACAGCTGTGTATCCTTCTATCTGTGTACCTTTCTGGCGGAACAGTCTTCTGGTCTACAAGACCGGATAAGTCTCTGCTTTCACCTTAGCCAAACCAGCGCTAAAAGGGCTATTTGGTCACTTGGCACTTGCTGCACCGGTGCATTCTTCCTCACTGGGCATTTGCGTGTGATGTACCAACTGGACAGCGAATTCAATGTCATTAGAAAGAACTGGACTAAAACCCATGCCAAGGTAGAGGATCATACAAGGTCTTTTATACAACATAAGGTTGGCTTCAAGGGGTGAAAAAGGAACCTCAGCAAAGAGTGACTGTGACCTTTCTTGGCTGTATGCTTTGTAAACCTGATGTTAATGGTCGCTTAGTTAGCTTGGGTGGGCTCCACCTGTGTTTTGTACAGAATAATGTAGGGGAGGAGTGAGAGAGCACAGAGCGCCTGGAGTCCTCTAAATTGCCTGACAGCAGCCATTGTCTGTCCCTGGAAAGGCAAGGCTTTGGCAAAGTGTCAGAAAGGGGACAGTCATGTTTTGCAAACAAATTGTTCTTTGTCATGCAAAGAGGGCCATGGCATACAGCTCTGGGATGAAGTCTGCCTTAGTTCTGTAAGTAACGAAAGTATTCAGTCTTGTCTGTGGCCCTTCATACACATCTCTGCATAGCAAGAGCGTTTTTCTGTGGGCGGCACAAGTGTTTTAGAGCTTGTGGTTACCCCCTGCAGACTCCTGAGTTGCTCAAAGCCCACAGCTCTGTGATTCCTCCTTGAAAAACCTCATGCAGTTTTCTGGCTACATCAGGAGAACCTGTGTATAAAGTAATGGCTAATCAAACACCATGCAAGCATGCAAAGCTGACTTGTGACCCAGAGGGAGGTGTTACAAATACTTCCCTGCTGTGAGAGCTATCCTAATTGTATTTCTTAATTGCTGTTAAATGCAATGTGAGAAAATGTGCGTACCTTAAGTAATGATTCCTCGTGTTATATCTGAAAATAGTGCTTCGTGTTCAGCTAAGACTCCTTTGTTCAAAGCAATTTAGAGCTATGAAGCATTTTCTTTCCGCAGTGTCCTGTGAGCAGGTGAGTATCAACCAGCCTCATTTTCTGGGTGAGAAAAGAAGACTCAGAAATACAGGTTTATTTGGAAAAGTGTTCCTGAGTTCATGAGGATTTCTGGTTTTGTGGTTCTCAAAAGGCAGTGGAAGAATTTGAAAGCTGTGCCTCAGACTTGCCCGAAGAGCAGCCAGGTTTCAAAGCAGAGGCTTGGCTGCTTTTGCACAGTGATGACCTTTATGAAGCTCCAGAAATACTTGTCTTTTGACTTGAGTGTGGGGTTGAATTGAAGTGTTTCTTGAAAACTAGAATTATTTATCCAGTGTTATATCAAGGTTATTTTCAGGTGTTTAAATGTCAATGTACTGCTGTGGTTAGGTACATCCCAGACAATTCCCCAACATCCTGATACCCGAACACTAAAAAGAAAGGGATTAGGAACTGACTGGTTTTATTTAATGCCCAAACTGAGCAAACGCATGAATTGAACAACAGAAGTAAGGAAGAGTAATTTCATATAAGGACTGCTCCTGTTTTAATACGGTGAGATGGGTAAGGGAAGCTGTGGCAGCTTGTACAGAATGGCTCAGCTCAGTTGATTTCAGCTCGGTTGTGGTGATTTGCACAAGCCTCTGGTTTTGACTTACCCTCTGGTTTTCAATTGTTCTTATTTCCTCACTATTACTTTTTATGTGAGCAGCTTTTCTTTAATGAAATGGAAGCGTTTGTGTATCTTAAAAGTATATTTCTGACATTCAAATTCCGTATCTCTAGGTTTCAGTTGTGTGGTAAGCAGCCCTGTTTGCCAACCGCATAGTTTAAAGTTAAACACCTGCACAGGACATGAGTCCTTATATATGCAAACATATATAGTTATATGTTATAGTTATATATAAGTATGCAAACTTATATGTTTGCATATATAAGTACTGGAGTGCAGCGTTGAATGATCTATTGAGACATCAAGCAGAATGATGTGATTTGTATGAAGCTGCTAAATTTCAGAGCCTGTGAACACAGGATTCAGTGCTTATCATTTTGGTGTTGATTTTTCTTCCTGTACAGGCTTCTAGCACAACCAAGGTGACTAAACTGTGTGCAGGTGCTCAGCGTACTTTTGCTTTTTATGGAGGAGAGAGCCCGTACCTAAGTACCTCTTCATCTTCCAGGTAGCCGATGCCTTTGTCTTTCTCTGGCTGGTGAACTTTGCAGTTGCACTGGGTCCATGGACCCTTGCTGGTGCCTTTGCCTCTTGTTCCTGGGCCTCTGGCAAACCAGCTGATGTTCCACTATGGCCACTCTTCATTGGAACAAGCAATGCGGTGAGACTGTGGGGCTGGACGTGAGCCCTGTCACATATCCAGCAAGTGCAGGTTTTACATGTAGGGAAGCCATTCTGCAGATGCTGCAGCCCCCCCCCCCCCCAACTGCCACCCCCGCAGCACGCGCACACACATGTGTGCACCTATGGTCTGAGGTGTCATGAGCCCAGAGGGCTGAAAAGCATTTATCTTAGACTGTATGATTTATAATGGTAATAGAGATATATAAGCATTTCTATTATTACTATGGATAATTTTAATTATGTATATTTTTATATAATTGTATATATTCTATAATTATATAACCTTACTTACGTGTTCATGTGAAACTTTGAGCCTTGAGACTTTTGTTTGCATTTCATGATTTTTATGAGGGCACATTTCATTAAGGAGCCAACCCAAACCAGACTGGGATTCTGAGATTCTGTGATTTTGTTCCATACCTTTAGCACTGGATGTAATTCTTAAATAATGGGCAAAATGAACCACAGATTCCTTCAAGTGCCAGATATGTTAGTAGGGGTAAGACTGGAAAAGTAAATTGTGTTTTCTTCACCAGTGTCAGGAAACATGACCAAATTCAGGTTCCTCTTCATGCTGCAACAACAACCACTGCGTCTTCAGGACCTGCGCATACATCTTATTCCAGTGCTAACTAGTGCAGTTAGTTAGTAACTACTGCTTGTGTCATAGCTACAGAAGATCCATCATGCCTCAAACCCTAAATGGTGGCAGGTGTGGGCATATATGTAAGAGCACCACATTTTTACAGTGGTGCCTGTAACTGTCTTCTCTCTGGCTTTTTCATTTTACTGAAAACTAACTTAGTACCTTTCTGGCCTAGTTTCAGTTGTCAGTAAAGTCACTCTTTCCAGTTGTCTTCCTATTTTCTCAGTAGCCTTTGATCTGTAAGGATCCGTCCCAGCAGCTGTGGCTATCAGCTTCAATGTTTCTAGTGACTTTGCTGCTGCAGACTCTAACCAGGAAAATACTGAAAACCTCTTGATAGCCTTCATGACATGATGTGATGTGGCTTGTTCTTCAGGTGGCACCATGTCTTGAATGCAGACATCTGCTGCCAGTGACTACACCCGCTTGCATTGGATGGGAGTCACCAATAGCTCCACAGGTGCAGCCCCAAACCAACATCTGCATAAAGGTAATTGAGAATAAATCTAACAAAAGAGCAATTTACCTCCTGGCATGCCTGTTTCTAACAGGTGACTTCTGTAAAAATGGTTTGATCCAGCTTGGGTTTCTCTAATTGCATTGTGAGAGCTTTAAGGGTTAATAGGATTCAAACCACCTTGACTAGAAATAAACATTAAAGGTAAACCATGTAAGCTGAGGAAGGCATCTTGAAGAGCACAGGAGGCAGTTGTGTGAAAGACAGGACACGTGCACTTGTGTTCAGTAGGGAGGTATTCTGTGATTCTATCATTTATGGCCTTAGTAGTACTGAGCATTTCATTAAATACGTCCTCATTACTCTGCTTCCCTCAGTTGATTGTAAGTCCTTAGCACAGATGGGCTGGCAGGACTGGGGCAGTGGGGAGATGCCCAAAAGGCTCAAGTGCCACAGTAGTCAGTGATCCAAAAGTGCTGGTGGGCTTCACTAGACAAAATCTGCCCTCCAGAATGCTCCTTACCCAAGGGTATTGGGACCCAGGTAGAGGCTGTCCTTCACCCTTGCAGTCAGGGGAAAGGGTGTGAGAAGGAGTGAACTGATACTGCATGTCCACAACTGGTAGATTATAGGCACTGCCTCAGACTGGGTGTTTTCTGGCAGTCCTGATGCAGGTGCAAAGGCAGGCCTGAACTATTTGGTGGCAACCATCAAAACAGCAGACTCATGATTCTCAGCTCTGGTGGAATCTGGCTTGTGAGATACAGTGGCTGTGCTCGGGCACCCTCATGGGGATATGAATCATTTTCCTTGCAGACAGTGGACTTGCTGCTTTGTGTGAGTGCAGTGGCTAAGCGAACTGGCACTAGTCTATAGAAACACCTGGAGGTATTGATGCTGGATCTGCTGAGGGAACTGTACCATAGCTTAAAATGAACTGTCACCAAGATCCATGGATTTGTGATGGGCAGGCACTATGGCCTAACTAAAACTGAAGCCCACAGCACAGGCTGGAAAGATCTCTTCTATCTGCAGGGGTGAATAAGCACAGCACTTTGTAAGATCAAGTCCTCTTCTTATTAGTGTTGTTCACAGTTTGCAGATACCATGTGAAATGCATTCTTTCTCTACTTAAAAGGGCAAAGTAATTTGTCAGGCATGTGGCACAGGAAATCTTCACCATAAACACTGTGTGACTTGTGCAAGCAAGCTGCCTGAAATACAGACGTTGAGGCTTCTTGCATCAATCACTGTAGGGTTAATCAAATGAAAGCACAACATTCTTTTTCTCTGGAAAACTGAAGTCATAGCCCTGTGTCCCTGTTATAAAAGCAGAGATGCCCTCCCTCATGGGCTATTCAAGGCCCGTACTCCCACAGATCATCCATCACAAATGTCCAGCTCAACAGAAGCGTACCTTTGAGTTCCTCCTGTGGAAGTCAGGACTGTGTGTGCCACTGTGAAAGCTGAGAAGGCTCTTAGAAAATGGGTAGTCTTGGCTCCAAGAGAGTTTTGTTTTGTTCAGATTATTTTCAATTGCAGTAGAAAACTTGAGTGTCTGTATCAGGAAGACAATTTTGGTTGTTTTCCATTATTCTGTGAAAAGAAAATATTCTTTTACATTATTTTTCGTATCTCCATTTTCATCTCCATCTCTATGTGCACACCGCTCCTGTGCTTGGATTTGGCTGTGACTGTAACGGATGGGAACCTCACTGAGAGTTGATTCCCTCTCCTGACTGAGAGACAACACAGTGTGGGTTTTTCACAGTGTATTTGGCAGAGCCCATGTGTGTATGTTCATAGTGACTGTTTGTCGGAAAGAGGCAGGAAACCATGAGGATGCAGCTGTTCTATGAGCTTCCTACTTGGGCACGCTGGGCCACCTGGCCAATGCTGTCAGTGCAGTGCTGCCAGTGCTGAGATGATGAAGAACTTCATGGGCCCATGAGTAAACAGTGACAGAGCTGGCATAAAGCCCCTTGTGTTTCTAAGGGTATAGAAGCCGGAGCCTTTTGTAATCAAATCCAGGGCCTTCCCTGTGGGTGGATGGACCTCATAGGAACTTTCCCATTTACCTGAGACCGCCAGTATCAGCTGCAAGGGGCCTTCCCTGCTGAAGTGTGTGCTGGGAGGATGGTTCGGTGGTGACTAGTGATGTCTTTCTTCTTAATCTCCGTTCTGCCTATGCAGTAGTGATTTGATGCATTGGTAATTGTCCTCTGTGCTTATTTACTGTATAGAAATATCTACCCAGTTCACTTTACTGTGCTTGTTTGCTTTAGTGTGCATGTTTAATCCACTGTGCATGTTGTACAGCGAGTGTGTGATCGTTTTGTTGAGTACCCTGCCTGTCAGCAGAACACTTATGTACCCAGCAACGTCCCTGCCTCTCTTACAGACGCCAGGTCCTGCTGCTTTTCCCAAGGTGGAACTGGACTTCTACGGAAAAGGGGCTCCCATGTACACGATGGAACCAAAAGCAGCCTTGGAGGAGACAAAACAGCAAAGCCAGGGCCAGCAGACTACCGCCCAGGCAAGGTAAGGCAGCCTGCCTGTTAGCGTAAGAACTGACACATAACCACCGGAATGGTTATATGAGGTGCTTTATTGAGGCGCCGGGAACCAGGGGTACGCACCCAAATCTGGTTCCTACTCCTGTCACATCGCGTTCGCAATTTATACACTAAAAATTTTGTAACTAATACATATTCAACACAGATTACATCATTTACTAATACATATGCATCAAAGATTGCTACATCAATCTATTACGACATCAGCCTCTTGTGCGCTTGCGCAGCCCCCTCTGGTGGTCGCCCTGATGAAGTAAGGAGTCTTCCTCAGATGAAGTAAGAAGTCTTCCTCAGGTTGTCCTCTTCACCTTTTCTTTACTTGGCTAGGTCCTAATCGTCTTGTGGACGTTAGCATTCTCTTATCTTCACCAGGATGTTTCTGGTATGCCCTTTTTGGCTATCTTAAACTTAAGTTCTGCTTGGGTAGAGTTTTACAATACATACACCCATACTCCCCTCACCATATACAGTTATGTTAGCTCTTGCTACCAAGACTACCATTGTATCATGTAGTTACAGAGTAACTATGATACAAAACGGCAAAGTTACGTCTTCTAATATACAAAGCCTCACTATTGATTTATAAATTTCTCAAATATAATCTTAACTATTTTATATGATTATTTTGTGGTAAAAACTTCACCCTCTCTAACATGCCCATCTCTCCTCTTCTGCTTTGCAACTACCAGCCTTTGAGCATCCCCACTTTCTTCTGGGGCTTCTGAGAGCACATGACCACCTTAGTGGAGTGACCAGCGACAGGACAGCAGGCCTGCTCCCCTGCCTTGGCCCAAAGCAGAGCAGAGGGAGGCCAAGCAACACATCTTTGCCTCTCCACTAGCTCAGCTATTAATTAATCTCAGCTATAAACATATGCAGACATGGACTTCACTTTATTGAAGTTTGCAAATAGACCTGCAACAAAATAAAGTTATTGAGATTGAATGAAGTTTCTATCGAGTGATTACAAAACATAAAATGAAGCAGTGTGAGGAGGGGCATCTGTAGCAAAGATGGATTTTATTGGTAAAGTGAAAATCGAATGTTATGGGCCAGTGCTGCCCAATGGCAGCTTCTCACAGCTGTAGTTAAACGACAGCTGACACAAAAGTCTGTGAGCAGCTGTAACCTATTACAAGTTAGTGGAAGTGAAGCCAGAGTTAGTGTATGTAAGGAAGGGAAGGAGAGCAGAGACAACTCATAACTCAAGGATGTGGCCAAAGGTTAATGTTTCTGGTTCAGATCGTGGATGATGACGAAGGCTGTGGAAGCAGGCCTGGCTCAGCTGGAGGAGTTCACCATCTGATTGTTCAAATGCATGTTGTATTTGGGTCACTCATAATGCTGTCTCTTGTAAAGCCAGCTTGTTTCAGATGTCAAAGGGAGGAATAGCAGAAATGTATGAGGACTTGAAAGGTGAAAAGTGGAAGGGAACTCAAATTCTCTACCTGTGAAAAAGATGAAAAGGTAAATATTAAGATAACAAAAGATCCAAGAGATCTGAGGTGTTTTTCTTTCTCCACCTGTGTTTCTCTGGGCAAATCGTGTACTCCCCAATATGGAGATGTCATTGCACCAGTGAAAAAGTCTAAGCCTGAGACGGTCAATGGTTAGTTGAGAAGCTTTCAAAGAAGTGTGTTGGTTAACCAGTGCTTGGAACCACATGTGGAGTGTGGCAGACATGCAAATATGAATAGCATAAGCAACTGTGGTTGATCAGAGAGTTTACTATTTCTGTTGAGTCATTCTTCTGGGTACTGTGAACTCAGGTGTAGCAGGGATGCTTTGTTGATATGCATCAACCCTACCAGTAGTTAAGTTTCATGAAAAATGAAGGTCACTGGACACTTGATGGTCAAGGGAATATTAGCTTCAAACTTGTCCCGACTTTGAGAAAACTTAGAATCATACAATCATAGAATAGTTAGGGTTGGAAAGGATGTTAACATCATCTAGTTCCAACCCCCCTGCCATGGGCAGGGACACCTCACACTAAACCATTCCACCCAAGGGTTCATCCAGCCTGGCCTTGAACACTGCCAGGGATGGAGCATTCACAGCTTCCCTGGGCAACCCATTCAAGGCCCTCACCTGGAATTTCTTCCTTATATCCAGTCTAAATTTGCCCTGTTTAAGTTTGAACCTGTTACCTCTTGTCCTGTCGTTACAATTCCTACTGAAGAGTCCCTCCCCAGCATCCCTATAGGCCTCCTTCAGATACTGGAAGGCTGCTATGAGGTCTCCACGCAGCCTTCTCTTCTCCAGGCTGAACAGCCCCAACTTTCTCAGCCTGTCTTCATACAGGAGGTGCTCCAGTCCCCTGATCATCCTCGTGGCCTCCTCTGGACTTGTTCCAACAGTTCCATGTCCTTTTTATGTTGAGGACACCAGAACTGCACACAATACTCCAAGTGAGGTCTCACGAGAGCAGAGTAGAGGGGCAGGATCACCTCCTTCGACTTGCTGGTCACGCTCCTTTTGATGCAGCCCAGGGTACAGTTGGCTTTCTGGGCTGGGAGTGCACACTGAAGCCGGCTCATGTTCATTTTCTCATTGACCAACACCCCCAAGTCCTTCTCCACAGGGCTGCTCTGAATCTCTTCTCTGCCCAACCTGTAGCTGTGCCTTTACGTCATAAGTAATGATCAAATTCTTGGCTGGTTCATATTCGCATGACTGTATTGAACTCCCCAGCTGCAGGTCTATCCATAAATCACCCCTTGAGCTTTCCTTGATAATGAAATCAACGCTTTAAATGTGGACTTTTTAACCATGCCATATTGATGTTGTCAGATCTAACTGATATTTGTACCCAAAGTGGGTAGTTAGATAAAAACTGAGAGGACTTTTTCTCTATTACTGGCAGTTTTTCCAGAAAAGGTTTGCTGGGTTTCTAGTGTAAGGAAAGCAATAGAAAACAATGTTGGCATATATTGCCCCTACTTTGCAGCCCATTGAACCCCAAGGCAACTCTTACATCTCAACAGCAATAGAAATTACTACTAGAAAAACAGCACTAAGAGCCAAGTACTGGTGTAGGAAACCCTCTTGATTCCAGAAACTGGTGATGTTTTTTCAAAATTTTTACAGTTTTCAGCAAATAATATATCAGATACCACAAATTTAGGAATGATAGTAAGGTAAATGTGAATTACTGGATCAGAGAACCTGCAGTGTCTTGCAGGGCATGGAGAACTTTAATTTTGCATCCAAAAGGGATAGGAATTTTTATACTTATTTTTCTTGAACTTTGATACAAATTGTTATTGTTACAGAGCTTTTTTCCAGATCATACGATACCTTTTCCAAGTGAGACCCATGAAGCTGCAAGGCACTCTGGGATATTACAGGTGTGTAATCTTTGAATGAAGATGAGCCAGCATAGCTTAGAATTTCCCATTGCCTGTTTTTTTTTTGTGAGCATAATTCTTTGCCACTGTTGGATCTGTTCCTAGTTTTTGAATAACTTAAAATACGGTTAATATTTTTTTCCTTATGAGATATGAAGTGGTGTGTCCCTGCCAGACAGTTACTGTATGACCGCAGTTGGGAACTTACGCATTCTTTCAGAATCACGGAGTGTCAAAACAGAAGATGAAGTAGAAATGGATAATGCCTTTCTTGGGTATTTCAGGTGAAAGACCCTGTTTCCTTAAAAAGGTGGAGTGCTGCAGTACTTGGCATATAGTTAACAGCAGGCATTGGTAGGATAATGAGGAAATGGTAATGTGATACAACCGGCTATAAAAAAAGGCTTAAAAGGTTAAACTTAATGAGTAGAAAATTCAGACTGACTAGTATGATTTGTTAGCTGGAAGGCTACTGTAGCCTTTGGGGAAAAAAAAAAGGTAGGTCACTCAGTGTTAGTCATCTTTTAAGTGGACACAAGATTTTAGTTTACAGTGGGAATAATTTCACAGAATGACCA